AAATAATGAACGTAATATGTACAGATTTATTACCATAATTAACAAAGGAAAATGAGCGAGAAAATAAAAAAATATCACTAATTCTTTGTCTAGAAATTATATACACTTAAGGGATGGATCTAATAGAACCCTTCCTTAGAATGAGGACTAGTTAAAAGAATTATTCTTAAAATTTAAAATTAATGATAAAAAGTGTTTTTAAAATTTAACTACTTTATACAAAAAATATATATTATTAGTATTTTAGAATGACACTTGTTACTTGCGCGACTTACCTGTGTTATATTATAATAATTTTTCTAGTTTATACCAAATAACTACTTTAAACATACATATATTAATTGATAAATAATTTTATTTTTTATTAATATTAATAAATAATTTTATTATTATTATAAAGATAAATATAATTTATTTATTTTCTATATACAATATGGATGTCAAATCGATGTTCATCAAGAGATGATTAATTTGATATATTATATGTGTAAAACTAATAAGAAATACAAAAATTATTAATTTTTAAAATCCATTTACAATTCTATGGTTATAATATGAAATGATATTAAAACGTAATTAATACATCTAAAATGACCACAAATAATCAACATATTTGTGGATAATCTGTATCTAATTATTTGGGTTGGAAGTAAATTAAAATCTATCTAAGCCAAATAATGAAGCAGGAAATTTTGACACATAGGATTTCGAAGCATGCGAGCATGCCATTTAGGCTCAGCACATTCGGTAATTATATATAAAAGGAATTACAGACTCAATCTTATTCATTAATTTGTGTAGATAAATGACTGATAATATTAATTTGGGGATACTATTCATTAGTTTCTAATGTTCATTTGTAATTGTAATCTTGTAAAAGATAAAACGACTATGTTTGGTAGGCAAATATGTCAGCTTATATCTTATTTGGTTACCTTATAAGCTTCCTATATTTAAATAAGGTTCATTGGGTAGGACGAGCTTATTTACAAAGCTCAAATAAACTCGTTGAAATTTTTATTTTAGCTAGTTTGTTTATCAACTAATTTTACCAAATACTTTTATTAGTTTATCAGCTAGTTTTACCAAACATAGCCAAAACTCAATGACATTTTAGTTATTTTTGGATTCTACTTACGTTGAGTTTCTTTTTTGTTTTGTTTTTTTTGTTTTTTGTTTTTTTTTTTTTTATGTGCATACTGAATTGATATTTTCATTTATTAAACATTGTTCCTGATTATTGATAAAAGCCAGCCATAGTGCGTGAACCATTAAAAATCTTATATGATCAATATTTTTAAAATTATATAATGATAGTCGCGGCAATGATATTTATATGAGTAATGCTGCTATTCTTGACAATTTCCAAAATATATATTCTATTTATTATAACAACTCCAGTAATTCGAATACTATTCCACAGAGATTACTTTACATCCAAATGACGAGGCATATTTCTAACTCAATTGGATTATCATCCTTTTTATTTCATAGGATTTGTATGTTTAATTACATATATAAAAGAAAAGGGAGACAAAAAAACATGCCTCAAACTGCAACATACACAGAAATGGAATCTAGACTGTTAGGCACGCTGACATGTACACCACACAAGTGACGAGACCATATAATTCACAAGCAGAAATTGCAGGCAATACAAACAAATGAAAGGGAAGAAATTGATTAAGAACATTAAAAGGAAATTGTAAATAACTATTGTGCATGTGAATGCAATTGGACCCATTTGATCGATATCAACATCAACATTCCACAAACATCCAAAAAGTAAAAAGTGCAGTATCCAGCCGAAAATCTTATAATTAATCTCGTGATGGGTCACAGAAATGGCACGCATTATATACAGCCGAAAATCTAAAATTCAATCTCTGACAGATCAACACGATAACTTTTTTTTTTTTTTTGAAAAGGATAAATTACTCAAGAAAAAATACAGTTCGGTGATTAATTGACTAAACAAACAACAAGGAGAAAGCTCCGTAAATAGCAAAAGAAGTTTGAAGCCGTCCTCAGCAGAGGCAAAGGCTCCAAACCCAGGGTCAAGAACCAAACTCTACAACCAAACTATCCCAAAGATAGCAAGGCAACAAAGTTGACAAACCACTCAACTCTAAGAGACCTAGTCTACTAACAAAAGACTAAGAAATAGAAATACAAAGCAAGCAACAACAAACTAGAGGAAAATACAAACAAACAATTACTAAGCTCCTACACTAACAAACTCTTTCACTCTTTCCAAGCGATATCAACTGTAGTTGCCTCTGACCTTAGAACATTCTGAAATACCCACAGGTTACGTGTCTTTCAAATCTACCAAAAAATGTAGGTGGAAAGTTGCAGCGTGGCCTCATAAACTGGGTTAGAGGGATAGAACAAAGTTGCAACTGTAATAATATTTTATATATTATTCTATTATTGTGGACCATATAATTAGTTGGACCTAATTGAATTAATAGCCAAATTTAATTAAGGTGAATATGTATTTAATAGATTATTAATGTTCTAATATTAAAGAGTCCAATTTGTGATGTTTGACTTGGACATTAAGTTAGGTTAGAACATGAGGAATGTTAGTAGGAATAGGTTTGTAGGATTCCTCCTATATATACTACATGCCCCTCTCTCCCATCTCATACGAAATAAAGTTCTCAACATCAAGGCCTTTATGAAAAGACGAGAGACGCGGGAGAGAGAAACAATTCATAGGCAAAAGACAAATCCATGATTAGAGATTACAAGGAAGAGGATTACGAGGAAGAAGATCGCAAATCAACATCATCGATCAAGAAAACAGGGAATGACTAAGCTGGATTCTTGTAAGTTATATGTGCAATTTAATTTATGCAAAGATCCATATTCTATGAATTGATAGAATTACATACTTAGGGTTTATTTAATTCCGCTTGATAGTTATGAATATGCCCGTTAAATTTCTTACAGCAACCACCAAGACTTGAAGGAATCAGTGAATTCAGACAGACCATCCCATGACACAGGTGAAATCTTCCAGATCAGAGTGGCACTTTTGCAGCTGAAAAATAAATGCTCCCGAGTCTCCAAACCATCACCGCAGAACTTACAGACTTGGTCAACTGGCTATCTTCTTGAAGAGAGGTTGCATATTACAAACAAGATGTTAAAGCTTTTCCACAAGAAGTGTTTTAACTTTCCTTTAATTTTCAGATGCCGGATCCTCTTTCTAGCTGCTCTGAGTTCCTTGTGGTTAGAGCTTCCCTCAACTAAGTCCATCAATCTCCATTTTTGGGCAACTAACTTAGCATAAGTTGAAGAAATAGAAAAGTTTCCATTCTTACTCCAATCCCATCTTAACCTGTCAGTATTGTTAGGATCAAGGCTAGAGATACTAAAGATAGTTCAAGCCTCATGTTTCTGAAAATATTTCTCTATGAGCTGCTTATTCCATCTTCTACCAGAATCATCCATGAGGTCTTTTACCCAACAAATATCAAAACTGAGGGGATTCACTCCAGAGAGTATAAAGTCAGGGAGGCTGAGGATCCAAGAGTGATCCCAGATCCCCCCTTCCCCCCTTATATATTAATTCAGAACGTGCTGAGCTTATGTGGCAGACTTGCATGCTTCGGGATCCTATGTGGCAAAATTACATGCTTCGTTATTAGGCTTGGATAGATTTAATTTAATTCTAATCCAAAAATATTTAGGTTCGGATTATTTATAAATATGTTGATTATTTATGGTAGGGGTGGGCACGGTCCGGGACGGTCCTGGATTTGACTTGTCCGGATACCAATCCCACTTTTATGAATCTGTCCCTGAACGGTCCGGGATGAGGCACCGTCCCCACCCATGTAATACATGGGTGTTGTACTAGTTTTAGTTGATTTGCAATCAAAGATCTCATACCTCAGTCCACAGTGAATTAAATCCCTTATTTTCTTCCAACTACTCCACAACTATGAGCAGTTATATTTGGGCTTAACATTAAACAAACTATTCTTAGGAAAATAAAGCCTTTTAAGTACTTTGCTGACCAGAAGATTAGGGTTTGAAATCAGCCTCCAGAGTCGCTTAGATATAAGGGCTTTATTGAACAAATAAAGGTCATGAAAGCCAGTCCTCCCCTCTCCTTTGGCAAAGTGATATGCTCCCAAGATTTCCAATATATGCTCTTGGAGTCATTCTCCTTGTTGTGCCACCAGAAGTTAGAGATTATGCTAGAAATCTTGAAAATTACAGGACTTTGGCAACAGAAAACAGGAAAAAGCATAAGTAGGTTGAGCTCCCAACATAGCCTTTATGAGAATTTCTTTACCTGCAAGCTGCAAATGAGAGAGATTTGTTGTATATTTGTTAAATCGTAAGTGCCTTTACAGGTATTTGGTTGTACTGTACTTTTACTTTCTTTCTTATCAAACAACTTATCAATGTATTCTTTTCGCAGATGTGGGTCATGAATATTTTTCATGTTTTCAAGGTGAAATTGTTGTTCCCTTGTCAGAACACTAATAAGGTTTTCTGACTCAGACTTAGTGTGAAAGTTAGACGAGGCTAACTCATCATCTATTTGAGGGTACCCATTTTCGTTAAAGAAAAAAATAGATTATGTATTAGAGTCAGAATTTGAATTATCTGTTGACTCAATTAGAAGATTAAAAATTATGTTAATTATTTCTTCTTCTAGTTTTAATTCTTATAATTTTTTATTAAGTCTGCAATAATTAGTCGTATGTCATTTTTTATGCCATTTAAAACATTCAACATTTTTGTACCATTCTCTAGAATTTTGTTTAGGTTTAGATTTTGAGTAAGGATATTTTCTTTTGTGTTTTTTATAATATTCTTCTTTTGGTTTATATTTCTTCTTATAGTATTTTGTTATATATATTTGTTCCCACTTTTTGGCTTATTTTGAATTCGGATTGTATGCTTCATGTTAGAAATTAAATGACGAACAAATTTATATCATAAATTTGTATGACTTATAATCATGGAAGCCTTACACATTAAAAAAAAAAAAGAAAAAAGGAACGAAAAATCCAGAATGCAGAATTATAGCAGGCCACAAGAAAGCACCTTTGCAGCAACAAATGTTTTTACAGTAATTAGGAACGCATTGACTGCATAGATAGAGTAACTTTGTACATATTTGGTGCGAACACTACCCAATTTGGCCGGTGTAAAATTCATTCAGAAAGTGGTCATTTAAGCAACAATTCGGCTTGTCATAATCTCTATTAGCAGCCTCTCTTGTATGAATATGGAGGCAAATTCAAAAGAAAAATAATAAAACCAAACTTATTTCATCTATTTATTAATTCAAATCAAATTCACTAAAGTACACAAATTTCACACAATTTTCAGTTCTTTAAGCCATGCCGTGTGGAGTGGGCATGGATCTTGTTTGCCTTCTGCAATTGCTTTCTCAGTCAGCGAATAAAACCATCCGTTCCTCCATTTGAACTGCAATAAATAAACGCAGAATATGTTCATTAATATAACATCTCACCACAATAATTGTAAAATGCAAAGTTGATCATCTCTAAAAACTAAAATATCCCCATGTTAAGGGGCTGAAATTTGTGAATTCAGATGATAACTGGGACCCTTTTCGCAATCGAACAAAATCTCAAGGGTACTTTCCATAATTACTCTCGAGCATTTTATCATGGAGGATTTTCATATTCTTACCTCCTTAACCGCAGTAGGAAAGTGAGCAACTGCACGTGAATAAGCACATAATCTGTCTTCTATACCTCCTTCAAAAACTATACCTTTCTCCGCAGCCGCAGCTAAAGCAAGTTCAGCTATAAGAGCTGACACCTGAAAATCATACGATCGTTTGATTAGCAAATTCTTTTGCCTTCATTTTCAGTTTGTTTGTTCAAAAGACCCTATGCAAGTGTTCGCGGAAAATTTTGCTTCTAAATGAAGTGATTTCTTGAACCATGAGCAAATGGGAAATGAGAATTGACGTGTTGAAATTGCTTCTAAAGGAGATTCGCACTTGCGCGTGTGTGTATGCGTGTAAGATTCAACCATGAACAAAATTAGAAATCTTTAAGTTTCAGAGTTGCTAAAATAAGTAAGTTGTCTACCTCAGAACGGTATTCCTTCTCGACAACACCAACAGTTGCACCAGGATGGCGGGCCCCAACGAGCATGAAAGCACAAATCCATATAAGCTTCTCAAGCATTTGCTTCTGAAATGCATCCTTTTCAAGCACCTTTATTTTTTTTTTGAACAACAGAAATAGTTTCTTAAGGAGAGTACACAATCAACTCAATCTATAGCATTCCTCAACCACCTCTGAAATTCTGATAAAAATTGCAAAACCAAAAGCAGAAGTAATTATCTGGAAAAAAACAGAAATACCGAAAACTGCATTTTTTTAAGCCAAAAGTCAGTAATAACTTTCCCTAGTGTTTTGCACAAAACTTTTTCTCTGCCGAAACAATTCAGGAAAGCTTTAATATAAATTCCCTCGAGAAGTTAAACAACAGTGGCAACAATACAACAGTCATACTTTCAGCATTTTTCTTCCTCTTTTTTTTTTTTTTCTTTTTTTAAATAATAATATAATATAGGATAGAATAATCAATCTATAGACATAACAAGTACGAAACCCCAAGACTCACTCTACCTTGCAAGAAAGGCCCCCAGCACGCAATCTTCCAGCAACTGCAGATGCCCATTTTCCATAAGCAGCCGTTAAACCTTCGGGATTAGTGTCTGTAATCCCATCAATAGGAGGTTCGCCGAGCTTGGACACAGCAAAGTAAGCTAATACTTGATCGGCTTCACCAAGATCTTTACTCTCAAACCATGGCTCCAGCATCCCGTTCTGGAAAAACACCAAATCTGCTAATCATTCACTGTTAATATAGCATCACTCAAGTTATATAAAAATGTAATCTAAAGAAAATTGCATCTTGGTCTGTGTATATTGTTCTTGTGGATTTATAATTCTGTTTTTTATTTTAAGTGCAGGAATAAAGCATTTTGACAACTTATTAGCTACCAAAAATTTTCTCTTAACTTAAATCAGTTCTCAGCTTTCTATTTGCGGAAACATTGTCATCTTCTGATTCTCAAACTAAGTCTTCTTCTAAAACAATCAACCTTAACAACTGTTATAACTTCTGGCTTCTGCTTACAATTGTCATACTCCTTTTCCTTCATTGCAGTAATCTCAAATTCATTTGGATAAAATAGAACACTCCTTGACAAGATTTATGAATATGGTTTTGGAATAACTCTCACAAGAATACAACATTTTTACAATCTATCAGGGACGAAAAAATGAAAAGGGAAAAGAAAATATATCCTTGAACGTATCAATTCTCAGCTTCCATTGGCAGATACAATCATATTGCATTAACTCAAGTACTTAGGACGTTAAAAAACCCCCCACATTCTAAATTAAGGCTTCTAATTTGCAATCACTATCAAATTCTTATTTCTCGGCTTTTCTCCTTCTATTAGAATAAATTACTTCGGGCAAACTCCACAATAAGCTACTAGTACACTCAAACTAACTACATTGTCCAAAATGTTTTATTGTATTAAGAAAAGAGAAAAACTTTCAGAATTGTACCGCTCCACCGAGATTTAGGCGTGGAATCAAGAACAGCGTCCAAATCGTCGTTTCGTGTGCAGACCAAAATGGGGCCCGTGAAATCAGGGGGCACCGGCTGCCCTCTCCTAACCAGGACATCATCCCCGCTGCCCATGTCCTGCAAAGCTTTTCCGACCCGCCCCCCACCGACTATGACGGCGGGGACAACCTTCTCCGCCGCGGCCGCGGCCGCCGCCATGGATGAAGAAGAGGTCGACAGAGATGCTCTGGTTTTGAACCTGGCGCCTACTGTTGAAGTGCGTTTTGTGCAGAAGTGGATGAGGGACGAGCTAGAGAGAGAAAACGTGGCGGCCATGGATGCTGGAGTTGGGATATTGAGGAGAAGCCATTTTTTGGATATAATCGAAAACGTGTGTGGTTTCTCGTGCTTGTGATCTTGTTTGGGGATGGATAATGATTCGGGTCAAGAAGCGAGCCACTCGTTTTGGTGGGCGTCCATATCCGGAGTTTCGGTTTTGGAGTATTTTTTTGAGCTTTATCTGATCCGATTTTGGGCTTCATCCGACCCGAGGTTCGAATCCATGTTCAAACTAAGTTGTTAGTTGTGATTACCTTATTCAGAACAAGTTCCTTCAAATCTTTGTAGATTGTGGTAGCAGTGTCGAACGGGCCGGCTAGGTATGTGGACTGGCCATCCAAGGTTCAAAGGGGGCGAGTTAAAATGGCACGTATTTCCACGTGTCAGAAAATTCTCGATTCGTGGACTGTCCAAATTTGCCAATGTTCTATTTTTTTTTATCCATATGAATTGCTTTTAAAGCTATATACAACTAAATTTATAATTAGGCCAAATGTTTATTTTTCACTTCTTAGACTGTGATTATTGCTTACTAAATTTTTATAGGCCTTATTTTGTTTGGCAGACTTGAGTTGACCAGGTTTCTCAAGAATCCATTGGCGAGAAAAGTCAAAAGTGTTTGGGGAAGGTCGAACGAAGAAGTATTCTAATTTCCAATACGTAACACTGGAGATGGGGCAGCTAGAAATTGAGCATGGTTCTGACGAGAAAGATAGAACGACCTGGTATTAAGAAGACCTCCGATCGGCTAGAACGAGCTAGAAACGCCAGGATCTCGAGTTGGTTGCCGGTTGAACGTCTTCGAACCTACACAACTCTCACACCGGAGGGGGTCTCCGGTAAAGAGCCTATGATGCTCAAATGAGTAAGTGTAGAAGATGAAGTGTAGAGAGAAAAAGCTCTCTGTAATATAATGTGTATAATAGAGAATGTAATGTAGCTTAAAGTATACTTAACTCCCTTTTATATAGGAAATGATACCTAGCTACCCAAGACAAGCGCGTGAGCTGCCTCGATGACAAGCGCGTCCACTACCCCAGCTGTCAGAGCTACATGGGGTGTGAGAAACGGTTGTGGATCATGGACCACTCAGGTGGCGCCACGTAGTTTTACCCATGTGAGGGATTTAATTTCCCTGATATTCCTTCTTATCCTTTGGCTCTTCATAAGACAGTTTAACCCTGCTTTTGACCTTGATTACCTCGAGGTGAGAGCTCCTCTATTGGCGAGTCTTGTTATCTTGCTCACATGGTCGAGCCCTCGGCCAGGTGCTCCTTCGAGTCAAATGCCTCTTGGGGCCCTATTCAACCTGTTGGTTCTCTTTGCATCTTCAGTATCTCTTTCGACCTGATGGTCTTTCGACTCAGGGGGTCCTCATTCCCCGCTCGACCTGATGACCAGCCCGGTTTGGTTCAAACGCCTCTCTGGTCTAGTCAACATGGTATGGTTATCCCATATCAGACCCTTTTTGAGGTTTCACCTAATAGTAATAGAAGAAGAAGTTTGGGTCAAGGGTGTGAAGAATGCAGTAGCTAAGAAAGCAAAATCCGACTATAAACAAAATGAAGTTGGGGGTAAAATGATTCTGGGTATCTTGTAGAGCCGAGCTAGCTCTACGAGGTCTCTCTTGAGAGGAAAGGTGAGACCAGTGTAAAACTGGTCCCAGAAAAAGGTGTGCATGCCATGGAGGGGCTGGAAAAAAGACTCTCCGAACTTGGGAGCCCAGAGCTCCCAGGATCGGGGAATCTCGCATTCATGTTTAAGGTAGTTTTGGTCAGTGTCAAACCAGAACGTTAAAAGGTTAGGCCCGATGACTATGACTTGGTCGAAAGTAACCCTAGCCTAGCTTCGGCGCCCATGGAGTGATCTCATAGTTCATACGGGGTGGAAATGATGGAGTCGGTCCATGATTTTTTCTTTCTTTTCTTTTGATGCCTTTCTCTCAAAGGGTTGAAGGGAGATAGTATGTCAAGTTGTTCGCAAGGACCAACTTAATCCTCTTCCCCACAGATCTCAGCTGAGGGATCTTTGGCGAGCCGCCAACTCCAACTATTGTCCATGTATGATCCATACTAGATCTGACCAACATCCCATCCTACCCTCTCTACGTTTTTTACAGCCCATCTTTGTCTCCTGCTTGGAGAATTGAGAAACTATCAACTATGGTGTTCAGATGGGCTTGGGAAGAGGAGGTCGAGGAGCCAGTTTCTTGGGACGATGACATGTCAAAGAGGATTTTAATTATGAAGAATGAGTGGGGCTAAGAGATCTCTGACAAAATAAATAAATAAAAAGATACAATGAAGTATGATAGAGGGGAGCTTAGAACATACCCATTAGTGACCATCGAAAAGGTTGTGGATGAAGAGAATTGAAGAACTCGCCGAAATTGAGAGAAGGTTCTAGGGCTTTAAGCCGTCGGTAACTTGCTGCGAAAAGATTTTTTGCAAAAGCATTGAAAGTTTGTAGAAATGGTAAAAGATCTTTTGAGGCAAGGTTAGGGATTTTATACGCTGATATAAGAACAAGGGTTAGTTGATCCGACCGTTGGATGAGCTTGCAAATCAAGGGCTCGAATTTTGTGGGCCAGGGATTGATAGGGCAGATGTACGAGGACAGTCAACGTGGCGGTGGCTCGAGATTTCAGCAGTTGAGGCACCTTTTCGGTGTCTCACATTCCCCCAGGTTGTTTGACATGACATTAAATGCAAAAGCAGACCAGGTTCAGATGAATAAAGGCGTACATTAAGTACAAGTCTTGGCAGCTCGCTTTGAAATTGGGGGGATGAGGGGCAGAGAGAGGGGTGGCTAAATGATGTAGCACCTAGAATAGCTTGGTGAACCGGCCTGAGTGGTTAGCTTGGGGTGGGCTGGTTCAAAGGAGATCTAGCTCGATGAAAGAAGTCGGCCTAGTGAAGGAGCTCATAAATACAACTTGAACGACTGAACGGACTGATGAGGCAACCTGGAAGTCATGAA